GATAAACCCCGCCCTCGGGAAAAGACAGCAAAGGGGGTGAGGCCATGCTGTGCTGCTTTAGAGAAGACGAAGAGAAAACTCGAGGTGCACGTAAAAATCTATTCCTATATGAATCGTGGTTCTGTCTTCTAACGATTCTAATGGATTCACAAGTTTCAAAATCAACGTTCTAAAGCAGCGGTTCTCAATATTGTTCCTCGCGTCCCCCTGCTCTGCACACACTCTGCATCTCTCTCTCTCTCTCTCTCATTCAGATCATCAGCTCAGCTCTGTTCCATTTATACACTTATTTTCACATAGCTATGAGAAGCGTTAAACATGGACGCGCGTGCAGTTGCGGTACTGTATTAAAGCTTTAATCAGGATAAAGCTGTATATTAAAAGCTAACATAAGCAGTAGCATTTGCAAATAACAGCGTATCTAAAAGTATGAGACAACAACAAACAAAAAACGTAGGCCTACCATTAAATGCCGTGCTTGCACAGGTTCTGCACTTCAATAATATCCTCTGCTTTTCAATCGGGCTCAAACTGATAAGCGATATTAACAATGACATTGTTTACAATACAACCTTAGCACATGCCACTGAAGTGAGGGGCGGGAAGTTATAGACGCGCACTTGAGGCGGTTTAGCCAATCATTTGCAAATAACAGCGTATCTAAAAGTATGAGACAACAACAAACAAAAAACGTAGGCCTACCATTAAATGCCGTGCTTGCACAGGTTCTGCACTTCAATAATATCCTCTGCTTTTCAATCGGGCTCAAACTGATAAGCGATATTAACGATGACATTGTTTACAATACAACCTTAGCACATGCCGCTGAGGTGAGGGGCGGGAAGTTATAGACGCGCACTTGAGGCGGTTTAGCCAATCACAACACACTGGGCTAGCTAACCAATCAGAGCCCATAGCCTATTTCCGAGGGAGGGGCTTCATAAAAGAAGGAAATGATCAGCGTGTTTCTCAGAGAAGGGACAGAGCGGTGTGGAATAAAGGTAAAAAAATAATGCGTTTTTTTTAAAAAACCAAGCATTAACACATGTTAGACTGCACCCCATAAACACAGTCAAGCCTAGAAAAAAAGCAGTGAACCACCCCTTTAATGAACACAATAATTAATACATAACTCATGTTGTGTAAAAGTGATGCAGTATCCTGGTGTATTCAGCAGAAGTGACAGCAAATGTGTCATCTATTGTTTTTGTTTTGACTACCTCCCACTTTTTTCCTAGACTTGAATGTGTAATGTGTTGTAATATCGACTGATTAACTGTGGAGTAGAAACTTACCACGTGCACTTGAAGGCAGCAGTAGCTCAGTTTCAAATGGGAAATCGCAGCACTGGAGTGGGTTGCCAGACTTGCCGCATGTGGAATTTTCTGAAGGTCCTCAAGAATCTAATATTGGGTTCTCTGACGTGATGATCTTACTGCAAAGCAAAGTTATATCAGCCTCATTCAACCCTAATGGAGGCTAATGCCATGAATAAAACACAAGCGTACAGTAGAAGACATTCGAGAGGGAACCGTGGGACAGTTAATGCATTATTTTAGCCTGAAAAGGGACAGATAATTCAAACTGAATGCTGAAAATAGACTGACGCTGACTTTCAAATGCTATTTTAGTGAACAGATCCATTTTTGTGCAAGAATTGTCATGCTGAAGAGCTGGAAAATGATGTAATTGCCTCTCCTTAAGTTCTCTCCCAAGCAGGGCTCTTACAGCTCATCAAGTGAAACTGGCAAGTGAATCTGTTCCTTTCTGCATGTCTTGTGAGATCTTCTCCATCTTTTCACGGTACTAAGTTTGTTCCTGCCTCTGTTATGTCATAGATGATTAGTATGGGATGATATTAGATTCAAAATGATTAATAGATGCACGCACAATTGTCCATGTACTGCATAACTTTAATACGTGTATCTTACTAACCACAAACAAATACCTTTCAATTTGAGTCTTTGGAATTCAGGATTAAATGATTGCGCAGCGATTTGTACAAATACAGACATGTTTGCGAATAAAAATGTTCTGTTCTGCATTAATATATCATAAATTGCTCATGCAAAAAGGAATCTGTGCATATATGGATCAAGTGACACGCGTGCATTAATTGATGTCTAGTTCGAGTCGATCTTGTTCGGTTCATTTGGATTTTGAGACTTCATTTTCGCAGTTTACAGCATTTCACGTCCCCCACACACACAACTACCAACGAACAAGGTCCAGTGCAATTCATTAACGTGTACACGATTTGAAAAATTCACAAATGTGCGTCACTACACTGAAACAAATGCTTTTCAACCGCTGTCTGCAGAGTTAAGAATTACATGAATGTGCAGCATTTTGTTCAAATAGAGACATATTTGTGAATACAAATGTTATAGTTTGTATTAAAGTATCATAATTTGTGCATGTAGCGATTAAAATGTGCATTTGTGGATCAGGTGACACGCATGCATTCATTCACGTCTCTTCTGAGTCGATTCTATTTGATTCATTTGAATTTTGAGTCTTTCGTTCCGCCCTTTTAGCCTTGCCCAATCCACACACACACAGCTCGCGATCCACGCACAGCTGAGCCTAAGAAAATCAGTGACCACTAGATGGCACTAGCCCCAGTCACATATGTGCATTCCATTGAGTACGGTTTTATGAATGTGACATTTTCTTTGTTTCTTTTTGGTTTAGCTATTCTCCTCTACCGTAGAAATATAATAAAGAAGTTTTATTGAACTTGTTCTAACTTAACTTGTCTTAAGACACAGAATAGCTTATATAATAATTTTGCCAAACAAGAACTTTGTGACGGTACCTTGTTTTTTTTTTCTGTAATTCAACGGCACGTTGTCAGTTATTCATTCCTTGTATTATTATTATTATTATTATTAAAAGGGCTATTATAGTCGCTCATTTAAGCCATTAGTAATCGCACGTTTATATTTAATTAAACTATTAAATTAACTTTAAACTATAGCCTACTAAACGAGTGTTTTATAGGCTATAGCCTATTCCGCGCTCAAGTGGATCGCATAAATAGCTAGAACATATTTTATTTAGGCTACTTATTACTAAACTGTTTTCTGAGTCAGTGTCTGCAAAGATGAAGTTGATGATGCTGATAAACGACTTTATTCTCGAAATGTAATCATTTTAATTCTCAATATTTTATTTCTACACTTTTCTGGATATTTAATGACTTTAATCTCGCATTATAGGCTAATGACTTTATTCTGGAGATGTTTTTTTTTTTTATTGTTTGGCCCTATAATCCTCTTTCTTACTCTCTCATTTGGCACGAATCCAAATGTTTCCATATTCACGATATTGGCTATTTGAATTTGAATGCAACAGACTATTATTTATTAGGCCGATGTAAACCAGGCTTTGTACTTAACCCACTTTCCAAAAAAAATCATGATCTTCTTCACATGAAAAATCATTCTCTTCACATGAGCAAATATGTGCTTGGCACGAGCTCAGGCTGAACGGCACAGATTGTACTACAGGCTGTTTTTTATTAACCAGTGTATCTAGATTCTACAGTGTATCTATATGTTTGGTTTACTGTATTTTATTCTGATAATGAACAGGCTGCAGCGTTTGCAATGCTGTAGGTCTATATGAAAGGTGCATTTCTCTCGTACTGCAGAGATGGCTAATCAGCATCGTCAACTTCATCTTTGCATAATAATAATAATACCCTACAAGGAAGGAATAGCTGACAACGTGCCGTTGAATTACAGAAAGAAAACAAAACAAGGTACTGTCACAAAGTTCTTGTTTGGCAAAATTTATATTAACAAGTTCAATAATACATCTTTATTATATTTCTACGGTAGAGGAGAATAGCCAAACCAAAAAAAACAAAGAAAATGTCACATTCATAAAACCGTACTCAATGGAATGCGCACATGTGACTGGGGCTAGTACCATCTAGTGGTCGCTGATTTTCTTAGGCTCAGCTGTGCGTGGATCGCGAGCTGTGTGTGTGTGGATTGGGCAAGGCTAAAAGGGCGGAACGAAAGTCTCAAAATTCAAATGAATCAAATAGAATCGACTCAGAAGAGACGTGAATGAATGCATGCGTGTCACCTGATCCACAAATGCACATTTTAATCGCTACATGCACAAATTATGATACTTTAATACAAACTATAACATTTGTATTCACAAATATGTCTCTATTTGAACAAAATGCTGCACATTAATGTAATTCTTAACTCCGCAGACAGCGGTTGAAAAGCATTTGTTTCAGTGTAGTGACGCACATTTGCGAATTTTTCAAATCGTGTACACGTTAATGAATTGCACTGGACCTTGTTCGTTGGTAGTTGTGTGTGTGGGGGACGTGAAATGCTGTAAACTGCGAAAATGAAGTCTCAAAATCCAAATGAACCGAACAAGATCAACTCGAACTAGACGTCAATTAATGCACGCGTGTCACCTAATCCACATATGATATGCACGGATTCCTTTTTGCATGAGCAATTTATGATATATTAATGCAGAATAGAACATTTTTATACGCAAACATGTCTGTATTTGTACAAATCGCTGCACAATCATTTAATCCTGAATTCCACAGACTCAAATTGAAAGGTATATGTTTGTGGTTAGTAAGATACATGTATAAAATGTATGCAGTACATTGATAATTGTGCATGCATTTATTAATAATTTTGAGTCTAATATCATCCCATAGATTAGCATCATGCTAACTAGATTTGTTTGCGAGGAAGAAATAAGCAGCGAAAAAGGTGTTCAAGCTGACAAAAAGATGACTGGCTTTTATTTTTGGAGCTTTAAATCTACGCTTGACACTGAAAAAGTTGAGTTTCTATGGGGAAAATATAGTCTTTTATCAAAAAATGACAAATTTTGACAGCAGAAAGTCTCATACGTCTGCCAAACAGCCGGTCTGTGAATGAGGCTCGTTTTTCAGCTCAACAATAGCTTATCAAGCGCACACTTACCGTGAACCGTCTTTTCCACAGGTGACAAGGTGGAGACGTTCCCTGTCCTGGAGATCAACCAGAGCGAGATAGTGGACACCACCGGTGCTGGAGACGCCTTTGTTGGAGGTACTGTGCTACCAAGCCATAAAAATGTACTTTCAAAGTACATCTTTAATAACTTCAATACTTTAAGCAATAGTTCACTCAAAAATGAAAATTATGTCATCGTCGATCCACCCTCATGTTGTTGCAAACCTGTATGACTTTTCTTTTTGCTGAGAAACTGATGATGATGATGATGATGATAGTTTTTGTGAATTCACTGAAAGTCAGTGGTGTCCAGAAAAGCATTTGGACCCCATTGACTTCCATTGACTGTATGGACTAAAAAGCACTGAGACGATTTATTTTTAAAAATACAGTCTTTTGTGTTTGATAGAAGAGACTAATTCTTTAGTAATATATTTATTATTATTATTGTTATTATTATTAATAATGTTCAAACAGATATTATAAATATTCATAGCCTAATCTAATAGATTGTTGTTGTTGTTATGAAATTGTCACGAATTCAGTCCATGGACTTCCGTTTATTCACCACCAGAGGTCACCCTTTCCATTTCATTGACTCTCGCACAACACAAACTGTTGCATAGCACCCCGGACTACGTATCCCATCATTCTTTGCACGATTTGCACACTGCACTGATTGCACACAGCTGTTTCTAATCACCTCACTCACTATATAACACCCACTCTAACCACATTTCTCTGCTGAGTATTGTTTAGCCTGTACCCCTTTCCGAGTCTCCGTGTTTTACTTGTTTTGCCTTGCCTTGCCTGTTTCTGCGGTATCTGATCTTTGCCTGTTTTCCTGGATTTCTCCCTCTCGTTTTGCCCTTGTGATTCTGTCTGCTGATCTGTGACCTACGCTAGCCCTGGGACTATTCTTGTGTTTTGCCCGCCATATACCTGTTTGCCATTGTTTTGACCCTGCCTGATTACCACGTCTCTTTAATAAAGCCTGCAGATGGATCCACATGTCTCACGTCTCGTCAGCCACATTACAGACATAAATATTCATACAAATATTTAAACATTATTTTAATTGGTTTAGTCTCTCTAGAACATAAGGTCTGATAAGCTAATAAGTTAATTAACCCAATAATTAATGCATAAATCAAAGGGGAAAAAATTCTAGTCAGCATGCAAATGGCTTGCAATGTTGAAACTGGTGCCCTAGACTCAGACTAGTCTTAGACTGAAGTATGTTTGAAGAAAGAAAATCACTATTATTATTAAAGGGGTCATGAACTGCATTTTTTAAATAATTTTTTTCTGTTCTCTGAGGTCCACTTATAATGTTATCAAGATTTTTACATTTAAAAAAATTATTTCGAAGTAATAGGCTATTTTCTGTCCTGTTTTGACCCCCTCATCTGAACACTCCGTTTGAATAGACGTGGCGGATGATTGGCTAACAGTTGTGTATGTTTGACAGCCTACATCCCTCCTAGATGCTGTGTTTTAGGTTAAAAACACATAAATACTCAGTACATATCAAACGATCTGTAATAAGAGACAACACAATAGTGAGCACATAATAAAAACAGTTACTCGCACTTGTGTGGTGTGACATTACTGTCGGATCCAAAACAGTTGCACAGAATCATCTTTTAGTTTCAATCTTTCTGAAAATCCTGTGTCAAATCGTGCCTGGTTTGTAAACAAATCCATGGTAAAATGAAGTGAACAAAGGACAGAGTTCTTACTGACGCAGTCTGGATCTTCTAAAAATAAACTTCATCCACTCTTTCCTAATGTTGGGATCAGAAGGAAAGCAATGCAAAGACTGTGTTTTTCCACAGCTTGGCACTGCACAGTGTCTTGTTGTCTTCATAGTCATCTTTATCGTTTAATTTCTGCGTAGACCTGCGATTGCCTCTCTCGTTATTTACACTACATGCATAAATCGGTGGGCGGAGCTAAACAGGCAGTGATGTAGAAGCAGGCGTTGATCATCTTCTGCGGAGGCGGTGTTTAGCCACACTATGTCATAAAGTAGCACATTCCACAACCTGTCATTTTGGCAGATTGGCTTCAATATAAGCTGTTTTTAGACTAACGAGAAAGTTTTGAGTTCTGAAACTTACAGAATGTTTTTATAGTACAATGACCTTTTAAATGTCAAAAGATCAAGGGAATTTTGATTTCTCGGTTCATGGCCCCTTTAATAATGGTAATAATTAAATACATATTATGATTATTATTATGAAATATTCAAACATAATAAATGTTTTATCCTCTCTCGAACACAAGGTGTGATAACCTAATAGATTAATGAACCCAATAATTAATGCATAAATGACAGAAGAATGAAATCACAGACTCAGCACACAGCTGAATTGAAATATTGAAGCAGGTATCCTAGACTCCGACTAGTCCTAGACGAAAGTATGTTCAATGGAAAATCACTATTGACAGGACAATTTAATCCAGGATTAGGTTTGATCTGTAACCTCTGGGAAACCAGACCCTGATGCAAGAGCTCTGACACACAATGCTTATTTATTTCCTGTGCAGCTGCTCTGGAATTACAATTTGTAGATTAATTGTAGTTATACTTCATTTATTTGGCTTAGTTTAATCACATGAAGCTGCCAATGTTCTATTGTACTATTTAACCTCAGATAACACAGTTAAGGGGAAATAGATCACTTTCATGATGGATTAGTGGAGTTTCCAGACTCCCCACAGCCGTTATCTTTAATCTGCGGGTTTAGCTAATAACCGCGCATTCAGATAGCCGCTGCGTGTCTACTCCAATCTGAACTGTGAAGCCATCCATCAAAAGCATAAAGCACAACGCTGTTTGGCTCCCCATGAAAAACAGAAATATCGATGTTGATCACGCCGTTCGCACGGGTCTTTCGGGTCAGGGTAATTTATCTTCATACCACGCCTCTTTTGCGGCCCTCTGCTTTTCAAAGGCCATGAGCCTGATTTGCTAACATGTCTTCCTGTAGCTCTTCCAGGACAACCTTGCGACTAATAGAGCTGTGAGCGTGTTTGCTCAAACGTCGTATTGATTTTTTTAACTCCTTTATCCGTTCCAACAAGAGGTTGGAGGCCAGCGCTCTGCCGTGTTGGAAAATGAATTTGCCAGCTGTTTTTCAATGCGCTCCGGCGCTGCTGCAGAGAGCAGAGATCTAGGTGGGAGGGTTCAGAGCCCGAGGGCAGCTGGAGGATTTCTGTATCGCACATCACTAAAGAGGGCCTTATGCATCACCTTTCACCCTTAAGTCTGATTTCCTTAATTTTTTTAAAAGAAAGCAAATGCAACAAAATCGATACCTGACTACGTTTTCTGAGCTAACATTCGCCGGCATATGTTTGTGTGTGTGTCTGTGCGCTCGGATGTGTGTGCATGTGTGCGTTCATTAAACATATGTTTGTGTGCATGTGTTTGCGCACGCTTTTTGATTAGGATCTGTCTGTCCACTCTCTTGCACGCTGCGGATCTGATTTTTTCTGAAAAAGATCTGATCTTTTTTTCGATGTCTGTTTGCATGTGTGTGCAGGTTTCCTGTCTCAGCTGGTACAGGATAAGACCTTTGAGCAGTGCATCCGCGCTGGACACTACTCTGCTAACGTCATTATTCGCCACGCGGGCTGCACATTCCCAGAAAAGCCAGACTTCCACTGATGGGCCACTGAGAGACCGGAAGATACGGCCGCCCGAGTGTTTTATAGGACTAATGCCTTTTTTTAATTGACTTTTTAATCTTCTGTTCATCTTTCCTCTCTTGTTCACTGCCTGCCTTCTGCTGTGCCTTTGTTGTCTCACAGCCTAATACGATCACAGAGACATATTTCACATTAAAAACTGTTTACAAAAGAGGCAAAAGAGGAATTTCTGTTGGAAATATTGATTTGTTTTTACTAAAGCCATTTTAGTATCACGGTTAAGAGTGATGATCATAACCAGCATCTTTCCAGATGTGGTGTTTGCTAACAAAATTTATTTTAGTCGTAATTAGCTATAAAAACTGAAGCCAATATTGCAAACATACAGAAGCCGGATGAATCATTTGAGCTTTTTTGAAATCAAAGGCTCGTTTTATCTCAGAGAAATTGTGTTGGCCAGTCTTCCTGTTGTAAACCAAATGTATTTGTGGGAAACACTTAAATGTGTCACAAACTGCCAAAATAAACAAAAAAGGCTGTATTACTGTATTACTGACTGTATTCTCTTCCTAACCTTATAAATGGGCAAAATGTGTGTTTATTGCTTGAAATGTGTTATATTGTGCATTATCTGTGTTTTTGTTCGACAGATTTTAGACTCCGTTTTTAGTCTATTTTACTCTCTCAACTTCTGTGTCCTACTGGATGGGTAGAAAGCCTATAGCTTCTGCCTGTCCTCTTGATGACAGTGGCAGGTCTGCATTGGTTCATCGCTGTGATATGGGATGAGGAGTAGCTATTTGTGAGCATCATTAGAGAGACTCAAGTTACAGCTGACCCTTTGTCCCCGTCTGTGACAGCAATCATAGCAGATTCGGGTTCTGTCGCTGACAAACCCGGTTGGGCCCTGGCATCACTGAGCACACGGTTTTAAACAACCCGTGAGTCCATGTGAACTCCTCAATGACAGCGAAGGACAAAGTCCTTGAGCACTAGTTCACATTTTCAGCTCACACACACTTTCCACTTCTCTAATCCTCCCGCTGTGTGTTTTACAATGATGCTGGATGTTTTTAAGACCTGTGAAAGTTGCCTGTGAGGTTTATAAAATGCAAGTTGATTCACAGGTGTGTTGCTGTTGGACAACATTTCAGTCAGTAGGTATAGAAGAACAAAGTCAAACAAGAAGTAAACACTTAGTTGTGTTTCTGATATAGTTGAAATTTTGGTTCCTCTTTATATTAGGTGTATGTACTTACAGTACATTAAAAAGATTACTTATGTACAATGTACTTGCGTTCATGTTGTATTGCAAAACTTTTGCTGCTATTGAGGTGGGATATGGTTAAGGTTAGGGGACAGATTTAGTGGTATTGGTAGGTTTGAGGGCGAGTTGTATTGTATAAAGCACTATATAAATGTGACTTACTTTAAGGAGTAGGTTAAGGTCAACTGTAATTACAGATTTATTAACAATTTAATTACAACTAATTACATTCAGGTACGATTTAAATACAAGTGTAAATACATGTATCTACACAATAAGTGCACTGTATAGTTGTTAAAGGCACTTGATATAAAGTGGGTCTGAATTTTTTATTTAACTTCAAACTGGATATCTCTAATCGGCAAAATCTATAATTTTAGAAACACACACACACAAAAGTTTTCAATACATGACTTGCTATAAGTGTGTTATCTCATTAAAAATGACCAATGACTGTATCATTTTAGTTGAAAAGCAACAGGCACTGTTTATTTAAAACAATGAATCAGACCAGCTACTGTGTGACCTCATTTAAAGTTCATTCATTTCATAATGATTGATGCTTAATATGCTTACAGCTATTTGATTTGGTTTGGTCCACTATAATAGCAAATATTGTTGTATTTATATTATTTAAAAGAAGAAAACCATCTAGACAACAATCTAGGAAATTGATCGTATTTGCTTAGTTGGCACATTCAACACAGTTGTATTTTTGTAGTTAGAAACGTGCACCAGTATCTGGAAGGTCATCAGTCTGAGCTAATCTACTTACCCTAGTGCTGTTATACCCTTGTGCAGGGAATTTATCCTGCCTCCGTCTGAATGTGAATATGACTATGCCAGTGGTTGAAATATGCAAACATGAATAATTACAATTTATCTGCATAAACTGTAAACAAATGAACCTTCCCTTTTGGCATACAAATAAGTAACACTGAATTGCAATAGCCACACACATTACAGTGCTAAAAAAGGGGTCTTGGGATGAAAATGATGCCAGTTATCACCTGTGAAGTGACAGGTATGGTTATGATCCAATCCACTAAACTAAAAAGTGGATCCAACTGAAAGCAGTGTAATTATATTAACACAGTGTTAAGTGATGTGTTAGTATATCACACCCAGACCAGCTGCCATAAGTAGCTCAACCTGGTGTTTCAAAAAAGACAACTGAAGACAATCCTTTGGTGTCAAATCACCTTGATCAGGCTTTGCTGGAAGCCGGTATGCAGGCTTTTGCCAAACTGTAACCACATCCCACATGGCTCAAGTTTTAGTGTGCAATTTGTTTTCCTCTCAGGCACAGTAAAAATTAACATGTCCATGGTTCAGATTGCTCTGCAACACCAAATTTTCACCACAGGGCGAACCCATGGGCTTTCAGGTGCATTTGAAAACTGTCAGTGGGTTTTGTTGCATACTTTATTAAATGTTTTCAATTTACTCCGATTATTTTGTTCCAACTGTGGTGTAGCACATTTGGCTGTATTTAATTGATGCTGGTATTTATATTGCAAACAAACATCAATTACATGTGCAACACCTTCTGAGCAATTAAAAAGTGATGTATAATTAAACCGTGTGAAACTTTTATTATAATTATGCATATATGCGTGTATTCATATGAAATTGATCTGTGCTGGGCGATATTACAAGTTTCATCATCCTCTTCAAAAACACGGCATATCAGACAGTATCTTGTCTTTTTTCCCCCCATACAGTTTAAAATCTCGCATGATTGCGCGTGCTGACTTGGAGACGATTTTGCACGCATACATTCATATCCCAATAAGGGATATTAAAAGTTTCCTTTTCCGCTTCACAGACGGGGAACGTTATGTCTCCTCTTTTCCCACCCATGCCGTGTAGTCTGAAACAATGTACATTGTTTCCCAATGAGCGATGTGATGTCACATAGCGGTTACAGCGAGTTAGTCCTCCTCTGTGGCTGATGGAGTGCCGAAAGGGGAGGGTACTACTTTGTCACAGACTCCTATGTAGATTAACCTTTCAATTAGTTGTTATCAGGTTCCCTCTGCCTAAGCGTGCGTTCATCTTCCGAATCAAACAGGACCCCATTGGATTTATCAGGCTACTTTACGCAAAAATAAGCGTGTTTTTATTGCTTATACGAGGAGCGTGGAGAGATCGTGCGAGGAACTTAAAGGTAAACGTTCGCTTTGCCAGCGTTGTCGGGCATTTATCTCGGCGGTGTCTTGTTTTATCGTTCAAGTTTAAGTTGTCGTGAGTGATGTAACTTGACGCAAGCGGAGAAATGAATTCGGGCTATTAAGGTTTTTGGGTTACGCGAAGCGCGCAAGTATCGCAATCTGCTGCTTGACCCGCATAAATGGAATTTTCCAGATGCTCTCTGTTCTCAGTTGCTTGATCTTGAAATATGAGTGCATTTTGCATGCTTTAGACAGAAGCTCACAAACCAACAGCAGCAGCAGCATCGCTGCTTTTTAGTGTTTCAGAATAACGGGAGAAATGACATGCCATGATCCGTTTAGGCATTCGCAGGATTTATAAATGTTGCCTATTTGCGTGCACAAGCACATTCGTGAGGACGTGCGCGTTCGATAGTTCATGGCCTCCCGTGTCTTTTGTAAAGTGCAAACTAATTATTAGCTATAGCTACTAGATTACAGCGCACACAGTACGGGGGATGCCAGGGATAACTTCACAAACCAACAGCAGCAGCAGCATCGCTGCTTTTTAGTGTTTCAGAATAACGGGAGAAATGATATGCCATGATCCGTTTAGGCATTCGCAGGATTTATAAATGTTGCCTATTTGCGTGCACAAGCACATTCGTGAGGACGTGCGCGTTCGATAGTTCATGGCCTCCCGTGTCTTTTGTAAAGTGCAAACTAATTATTAGCTATAGCTACTAGATTACACAGTACGGGGGATGCCAGGGATAACCAGAGTACTTGGACTAATTATTCACCATTACATTATTCTCCAAAAAGTGTGACTAGGTCGATCTGCTTATATTGCAGTGTTGTGCGATGCTCATTAGGGGGAGCCTTCTTAAAGGTGTAGAGCGAGTTTCGGCTGATCTTATATTTAAAGAGTAGTCATCAAGTAGTTTTAAACTTATTACATGATGATAAAATATTCCCGCTATCCCTGGTAACTGTTTTTTTTTCTCATGCGGATAGAATAGCAGGTATCGCATTCCATACGCAGTACGAACTAAAGAGCAGTTGACAACTTAAAGGGGTCGTTTGTTTAAATGTGAAGATATTGTCATTTTTGACCTGTTGTAATAATCCCGAATGACTAAAAAATTCGATGATATGCAGAATGACAGGCTTCAGTTACTGTTCACTTTCATTGCATGTTTAAAATCACACTGAAAATAAAAGAAAATAATGATTTGAGGCTGTCAGTTCTTCACTTTCTGCTTCATGTCTCAATGTGTGCTCCACGGAAGAAAGAAAGTCATAGAGGTTTGGAAAAACATGAGAGTGAGTAAATGATGACAGACTGTTCAGCGGTGTTGAGCTATCCCTTTAAGAGGCGGGTCAAGTGATTATTGACAGATTTTGAAGCCAACCGATTCCTCGAGAGGCCGAACTGTTTCCTTTTGATTGACACTTTGGTTATCTAACCAGGGATAAGTATTTGCCCTTTCTAACCAATATTAAAGTTTCTTGGGCGGGAACGTCTTTGTGAAGGTAAGGTTTAATGAGACTCCATTGGGTTGTAATCAGTGTCATGTCGGATTCATGTAAACTACAACATTGTAACAAAATGGCGTCTGTTTAGTAACGCGACCGGGCAAAGCGGCGAAGTCACCTGACCTGACCACCGTATTAAAGCGTCCAGAAAACAAGGTTTGAGAGACCGTGACTTAATTGACATGTTGACTTTGTCGTCATAAATTATAGATAGTCATCTGTCGGAAGTAGTCATAAAGCATAACCTAATTTAGCCAGCTTTAGCTTAGCGTGCTAGACTGAGCTCTGGGGCTGTTTAGAAAGCCGATGCTGGAGATAAGAAGCCGAATGCTTTTGAGATTCGCCTGACTTTAGCTCACTATCTCGGCTTTAATCAGAGGACTCGAGCTGAAGTAAGAGTGTCAGTACGCGTTTGTGATACGGTGTTTTATTTGAGCTGTCAGCATTGCAGATGATGTTGCTAGACTCTTAATGTGAAATGCCATGGCCAAGTCGTAGTTTGTGACCAAAACTGGAAGAGTGTAGACGAGATTTAAAATGGATGAAATAAGTGTCAAATCTTAAACAACGCTGTATGTTGTGTTTTTAAGTTTGAGTTGAACACCCAAAATGAGTGGGTGTCAGTTG